ACAGAGACAGAGAGAGAGAGAGAGAGAGAGAGAGAGAGAGAGAGAGAGAGAGAGAGAGAGAGTATTCCCCCAAACACAACGCACGCTCATTATGGCTGCACAGCCTGCACCGAACACATCCTCCTTATGACTATACGGAACACAAGTGATCTTTCAGTTCAGGTACAACCATAACAAGGGTGCGTTGTGCTCGGGGCAATACTCTCTCTCTCTCTCTCTCTTTTTGTGTGTGTGTGTGTGTCTGTCTGTCTGTCTGTCTGTCTGTCTGTCTGTCTGTCTTTCTGTGTGTGTGTGTGTCTGTGCGTGTCTGGTGTAGGGTAGCCAGACAAGATGCCTGCATGGTAGAGAGGCAGATGACCGAAGTAGTGTGTCGGCCTCTGTAGTCCACGGCCAGGGGCATATGGCAAAGTTGTCCATGCCCAGGAGAGGGGCAAAAGCAGAAGTTGGGCGATTTCGTCGGACATCTGCATTTTACGGGTATCTGAGGAGATACCCTAACTTTTATGGGTATTTAAACAATTTTTCGAAAAAAAAGGGCAATCCACTGAGGATAGCGTTTCGAACTCTCGCGGGCATAACCTATGTACCTAGCAGGCACACGCCAATCCGCTGAGCATATTGTCTCAATCTCTCGCGTGCATAACCTATACCGATGTACCTAGCAGGCACACGCCTTAACCACTCGGCCAGAACGGCAAATTTTGCTGTTTCTCTAAGTCAAACTTCAAGAATTTTGAAGGAAAACAGAGAAGATAAGCATGGCCCTTCACGCACGCAGGACACACATAAATCAAGAAATGGTCCAAATCCAAAAGTCCTTCAGGTCCTTTTCGGGATATGGCCCCTACGCAACGATGACGCGCGTACACAGAGAAACCTCTTTTTTATACAAAAAAGGGTTCATAGCAAAAATATTGCTGTTTCGAGGTTTGGCAGCGAAAATATGTGAGATCATAAGGCGAGTTTCTTGTCAGAAGGCAGCAAGGGGTACGGGATTGTACTGACAGGTCATGATAGGTTGAAGGGGAACCAGCAGAATGTCATCATAAAATAAAAAACAGGGAAAGCAAAATTCTAATAAAGAACTGACATACATAGCAATTGAGTTCCAGAAGTTACTGACCAATCACAAATCTTCCACACTGAGATCTTCACAGGGAAATGGAAAACACCCTGGGGAAACCCCCCCCATGCACCGAGGGCACGGGCGGGCGGGGCCAGATTTTCGCACGGTGAGTCGCGAACCGTGGATGAAGATCTCAGCCGTTGATGTTGCGTTGCAGGTACCAGGAACGGAGCGCCTAAACCGCCAACCGACAAAGGTCGCAACACGGAGTGCCGGACTTCAATGGGCCTGCCACAGGAGGCCATAAAATTGCCAACCCTCTTTGGGGTACCCTTGGAGAGAACCAGGGTCCGCCCGCATACGGGCAACGGGGCCTGGAAAAATCGACAGGCGAGCCAGCTTGAGGAAGGGACAGATGCATTGCATCCAGCGAGCCTTTGCGGCCAGCCTCCTGCCTTAGGGGCGAATCCACTTCTTGTCGAGGGCTGTGACGTCCCTTGGACCGCATGTGGTCTGGCCAATGGTCCAGATTCTTCTTCAGCAGTTATCACGTCTGGCCTTCTGGCCAGTGAACCTCAGTAAGTTCCGCCCTGTCTCCCGGTACCAGAACTGGCACCACAGTCGCGCGAATCCCACGAAATGAGGTGGCTTGCTGCAGAGAGTGAATTCTCATCCAATGCCTAACTAGGATTGACGCCTTCTAAAGTCCATTCGAAGTTTCCTTTGCAAAATAGATGTTTCGTTGCAGCTTTATCGGGTTCCTGTAGTTTGCCAGCAAAAATACCGCGTTTCGCCAAGTTTCAGAGCGAAGGACCCCTAGGCCCCTGGGCTCAGGGACTCAGGGGGGCACTCAGCTTTTCTCTCTTCTTTTTTCTTTTTTTTTTGTGTTTTTTTCCCTCGGGCAAGGCCGACGCATCTGGACGTGCCCACGGCCGGGGCCAAGTCCCACTAGCAGCTCGAAAGGAATAGGAATGAGAACCGGTCGTATGTGCCACATGCCTGCGAGCCGCAGATGGTCGGGGATTGGACGGTGAAGGTTCTTATTATTTCGGCAAGCATGGAAAACGTTACTTTCTTTTTTTTTCATTGGCCATCACTTGTCGGTGTACATGTTTTTCAGCAGTGGACTGGTTGTCATCCCTGGCGGGGCTGTTGGGAGGTCCGGAATGGAGACCGCTCTGTGGCTTAACTTCGATCGAACGTCGTGAGAAAAAAAAGTAAGAAAATGTAAAAAACACTCGAAACGAAAAACGGAAACCAAAAAAAAACAAAAAAAACACACGGAAACCTGGCTCATCGTGGGTCAGTACGGTCGGTACCCACTGGGGAATGCATGGAGTCCGTTTTTCGAGGCATGGAATGACCATCATGCCCTCCCATAGGTTGTCAGTCGCAATGCCTGTAGCGCGCACACTGTGAACGGCAGGAACCTCAGGCGAATCATGAACAGACGGTGGCAAAATGAAATTCAGTCCGTTTAGCTTACTACCGTCTTCCCCCGAACATAACGCACCCTCAGAATGAATGTATACAAGCTATATTTCCGGCCAGATACAGACAAAATAAGGGTGCGTTGTGGTCGGGGGAAGACGGTAGCGTGCGTGAGGTAGGAGAAAGGTGGGGTCTTCGACTGGGGCCAAGTCCCACTAGCAGCGTTGAGCTACCTCAACGCTGCTACTAGACGTGTTTGTGGACAGGTGCAGTTCAGGAAACTCAACAGGCATTCTCCACATCTGCACAAAAGCGTCCAGATACAGGCGTTGAGGTAGCTCAACGCTGCTAGTAGGCATTGGCCCCGGGGGAGGTGGGTCGTGTCCCAGGGTGCAGCAAGAGTTGGCTGCACCTTGGGCCAAGTCCAACCTACCTGTATGCTTAATTTCTGAGCATAGATTGCATAGACCCAATGCTCAGATATGACGCAGGGGGATAAGCAGGGCTTGGCTCCTGGAGAAAACGCATATGGGCGCTCGTTTAATTCATGTGGCCCGAGGGGCCAGGTCCCACTAGCAGCGATGAGTTTCCTCAACGCCTGAATCTGGACGCGTCCGTGGACATGTACGGTTGAGAAAACTCAACGTGATTTCTGCACATATCCACATACACGTCCAGATTCAGGCATTGAGGAAACTCAACGCTGCTAGTGGGACCTGGCCTCAAGTGACACCTGGAAGGGAATGTATGTGGCCCCTACTACGTTCACATGAACGATAAAATACCCATGAAAGATAAATGGTTCACCTCGACACTCTCTCTCTCTCTCTCTCTCTCTCTCTCTCTCTCTCTCTCTCTACCGTCGCCCGCACAGGATGGATGTCGCTGGCAGAGTGCGCCCGTCCTTTTGGCATTCCGTGGTGATGGCAAGCGGATATTATACGTTCGGTCTGACACTTCAGCATCGTCGGGTGTAGTAAGGGATGATTGCGGAGGCAGGGTTCACTCCAGCGGTGGCAATGGCGATGCATTATGATTGTGTTGGACTGGGAGTATTCAAATCTGTATCCGTGGGCGGGGCAACCTCTTCGAGAGGCTGACTTCAGCAGGCAACGTCATCGGATTTTTTTTTTAAATCCGTTGACGTACACCAACGTTGGTGCGTTATGTGGTTAATTTCTGTGGAGCAAATTTTGTTATTTTTTTTTTTGTGGGTGACATGCTATGATGATGGCGGCAGCACGGATGTGGCGGTGTGAGGCGGCAGTGTGTGCATGGCCGTCAAATGTGGTGGTCTGTGCATGGTGGTGCACGTCGGCTAAAGTTTGTGAGCGAGTAAACGAGCATGAGCATAATTTGAATTTCCCAACTGTGTCATGCCACCGATGGCCCACCGTCCAACTTTGAATGTAGGTGTTCTCGTTCTTCTCTAGTCACAGGCGGTTTGTGGAAATTCAAGCACGGCCATCATCGGCGCCATGGGTGCCGACTGATAATCATATGGACATTGCAGTGTCCATAGCGGAAACTATGGGGTCGCGCATCGCCCGCCGTGGAATCGGATGACTGCAGGTGGTGGTTTCCTACGTCCTTCGTAGGAAGGTCTGACAACGTGAGTGGTGGGTTTTCTGTTCGCCGGGCGAACGAGAAATGACAACCCGAGCGTCAGGCCCGACAGCGGGTCCACCTCTCTCTCTCTCTCTCTCAGCCTCCATGTCCCTCTCTCTATCTCTCTCAACAGCCATGTCCGGAAAACAAGGGGAAGTTTATGTCGGCGGTTGAGGCGGGTCTTCGGCAGTGGTGATGGTGATGACCACGATGATGATGGGGTGTGGTCAGAGCCGAAGGATGGCAGACGTGCACAGAACGGTCATGTTTGTACAGGTACGCTTTATGGAGTGAAAGTCCATTCGCATCGTACATTCACCGGGCGGGTGGACGGTGGGCGACAGCTGAAAGAAGCAGTCCAATAAACGACCATAGACGTTGATCTCTCTCTCTCTCTCTCTCTCTCTCTCTCTCTCTCTCTCTCTCTCTCTCTCTCTCTCTCTCTCTCTCTCTCTCTCTCTCTCNCTCTCTCTCTCTCTCTCTCTCTCTCTCTCTCTCTCTCTCTCTCTCTCTCTCTCTCTCTCTCTCTCTCTCTCTCTCCATATTGTAATATAAATACGTGGGTGTGTAATGAAGTTAGTGCCTCATCATTCGGAAGCGACTTCATGCCCGGTATCTAAAGCAGTGGAGTGACCGCTCTTACGGGTCGACTGCTCTTACGGGGTAAGGAAGCGTTCTTGCGCGTTTCAGTCTGCAACGATCTTTTCTATCTATGGATGGATGGCGAGCACCTCCCGGGGAACAGGCTGCTGAAGGAGAGGATAGCAATGGCGGCAACTGCGGTGGGACGTTCATCCATCCCACAGTGGTGTTGAGAGGGGATGCGAGCGAGGAGAGCATCGCCGCCGTGAGAAGGCAACTGTTCCTTCGTGCCGCTGCAGCGAACAGCGCCGTGTCCGCCAGCTCTGAGGACGTGCGTCGATGGGGTTGGACCTCTCTCCCGTCCAATCCGTCAATGGCGATTGTTGATGTCGAGGGTGTCAATCAGGTTGTGTCACCACCTTTCGTCGGTGGTGGACATAGTGCTCTACAGCACATGTCTCAGGTTAACATGTCGCAGAGTACGACTGGCAACCTCGATAGCATCCATGCTTGTGTCTCATGTTTTCCGCAATTTCAGTCTATGGAAAACCGTCATCTGAGCACCCCGTCGGTTTACCTGCCTGGGCAGATGTGGGATTTGTGTCTGCCCACTGTATCATCCACGTACTCACATCCACATCATCTAACTCCGACCGTCTCTTCAACTCACCTGGCCACACACTTACGGCATGCATCTCCATCACTTGCGGTGTTGCCGCAAACAGCTGGCGAGCATCTGTCATCGCTCTCAACGCCATTGTGTCCACCAATTGTACAGTTCCGTGATCACCATTCTCTCCGAACACACTGCACTCCTCCGCAATCGCCATTGCCGTGCACTCCTGTGCAACTTTCAGTGCCAACCACTGACTTCGAAATTCCTTCACTGCCCTTGCCTTCGCCATGTCAAGTGCTACTTAAGCAGAATGTAATCTCAAAGTCCGTAGAGTCCTTGCGGTGAGATGAATTGCATTGCGAAGGCCTGCCCTCAGTGCCCTGCACTGCGGAGAGTGGTCACGCCTATGTCGGCGATGCACTTCTGGAATCACACCACATGGGTGTCGACAAAGACGAACGCACTTTGTCGTTCAATGATGTCCGAGTCGCTCTCCAGCCATGCAGTGTCGACATTAGCTCCGATTCTGAATCCGAAACGGAAGACAGTAGTGATGAAGTCGAAGAACCGGACGAAGTCAGTGTCCATGCAGACAGTCATATACCAGATTCGGGAGGGGAAGTGCGTGTCTCCATAGTGGGGGATAAAAAGCCGGAGAAGATCCGTGCTGGTACAAACGTGAGTGGTTCCGGAGGGGGCTAGAGGGAGGACACTCGCGCTGTTGAGAATGTAAAACGTTCAGCGGGTGGACCAACGGTGGAGAAGCCTGCTAGACAGGGTATCGATTCTACAGTAGTGCAAAGAAAGAAGCGGGGTGGGAAGTGGGGGGAGGAGGAGACTATCTTCCTGTTGAAGTTTCGATCCGAACAGGTCGCAGCTAAAGGAAAGAATTCGGAGAAGAGGGGGGTGGCGAAGTCTAACAAGAAGGTGTGGGAGGAGATCTTTGCGTTACTGGAGAAGGAAGGGTATAATCGAAAACCGACTGACTGCAAGAGGAGGTGGAACGTTGTGAAGAGGTGGTTTAATAAAGTTAATGATAATGATGACAGGAGCGGCTACAAAAGCTATTGGAAAATGACCCTCTCTGAAAGGGTGGAGGCCAATCTCGATGTCAACATGAGAAGGACGTGGTATGATGTGCTTGTACCGTACAACAAGCACAATCAGACTGCTAACCCAACGCATCTGGTGGATACGGGGGCCGAGGAGGAAGTGAAACCTGTACTGGGTGCTGAAGGTCCTCGTCGGGGAGACGATGATAAGGTGCCTCCCTCAGTACCTCGTCGTGCTCCTGTACAGAGTGGTGGTGGTGAAGGCGGCGTCGGAGAAGGGACAACGCTGGGTTCTGACGGTCGAGGACCAGGGTCAGTTGCTGGATCTTCAACAGTGACGGGTCTGGCAGGGGCAACCCCTACGAGCAAACCGCGGAAGAACACGAGCGTCAGGGACCAGGCCTTGACCGGAGTCACAACGGCGATGAAGGAACACACGGATGCCATTCGCATATCGTCTTCAGAACAGAGCGCATCAAACAAGGATTGCACCGAGCTTCATTGCGATACGCTCGGCAGACTATGTGACCGTGAGATGCAGTCACAGAGGGAGTTAACCGAGATGACGTGCGCTGTCATGCGTGCAGACATCGCGTCACGGCTGTCATGCATGCAGACATCGCATCACGGGAGAATGGATATGCTTTACTGGCCGGTGCGCTTCGTGGGTTATCGAAGAGCGTTTCACGTCGCAAACGTGGGAGGCCATAGTGACACCTTAGATGGACGGATCTCGTAAGCCCTCATGCACCACAGAGAGAGAGAGAGAGAGAGAGAGAGAGAGAGAGAGAGAGAGAGAGAGAGAGAGAGAGAGAGAGAGAGAGAGATGTTATATTCACGATTTCAATAAATATCCTTCTCTCCTCCTCGCTTCGCATTCTGTTGTGTCTGTTTAACTCTGGTACCAACTTTCAAGAGCAGCGGAGTTAGTTTTTTGTTCTGTCTTCTGTTACTGTCGTTGTCATGGATATTTCATGGTCATGCTTATCTGAGTCATCTCATGAATTTTCATTATATGGAATTTTTTTCAGCGGGTGTTACTTCGTGGGGGTGTGAAGGACTCGTAAATGTTGCCTTCTATTGCGAAACGTAGAACAAAAGCATTGACATCTGTTATTTGTTTGAGTTGGAGAATGGAAAAGTGAACTTCCAAAGTGTGTTAATATGTACCAAGGGGGTTGATCGTCTTTTCTTTGGCAGTTCGAATGGAAGATTGCTGTTAGTTTTTATTGCTGTTATTGTTGGATGTCAGGGACATCGTCGGGTTCTTCCCTGATTTCGTGATAATGCATTGCTAACCGATCCACTTTTGTAATGTCTGTTGTCAATTTTTTTTTATATTATTATTAGTCTGTTTATGGTGCCACGTCGTCACGTTTTCTGGAAGAGGACGTTATGGGGGAACGAACACGCTGTGTGCATCCCATGACGGAACAACCTTGTTCGGCGGATGGAATGCATATGCATTTACCACTTTCCTGAACCGCGGGACGGCCGGGGACGTCACCTCGCGTGACCTCGGACAAACACGTCGTTTATGTGATCGCAGTACATTCGCATGGATGATGGCATGAAGGGAGACGAATCAAAATCAGAAACAACAAAAGCACTGAAGTTATGAGGCACAGAGCTTAGGAGGAACACAAAAAAAGTAGTGGGAAAAAAAAAAAAAAAGGGCTGGAACAAGTCCTCTTCAATACGTTGTTCTGTTATCATTGGGCTAAGTGCACATTTCTCTCCTATATATTCATTACATCTCCGTTATTGGTGAATCGGGATTTGCAACTTCGACATCTTTAGTTGTCGTATATTAGTATGTACCTTGGAGACATGTGATTCTCAGATTTCGCCTTCCAGACGTTTGGATGGAGGTTGAGAGAGGTTGTGTGTGTGTGTGTGTGTGTGTGTGTGTGTGTGTGTGTGTGTGTGTGTGTGTGTGTGTG